AGTTGTAGGGTCTTAGTTCCCAGATGGACAGGATGATCCCACTGAATCAGAAGTCATGAGCTCTCTCTGGCTGTTTGAAGCTCCCCCTGCAACCAGGAGATTGGTACCGGTTCCAAAGAAGAATTGATTTGTTACTATGTAGCCTCCTCTGAGATCTAGAGATTTCAGAGTGCCTTTTAAGACTTCCATGTTTGATACTGAAAGGTAATGGTCTACAGCTCTCTAGAAGAGCAAAGCAGAGGTGATTGGACTGAAACACTTCAGAAGTTGAGTTTGGAATTTCCTACCAGGTTAAGAATGTTGAGTGATGCTTAACATAAATTGGAACACAACCTGAACACGGTATAATGGAAATAACTGTGGTCGTGAGAAAAACAAAAACAATCCTAGTTCTGCACCTGCCACTCGATGGTCAGTCTTCTTAGTTGTATGTCCTGGGCCAAAGCTCTCACCATTTCTTAGCCTCATCTCTGTGTGAGGCAATACTAATTCTTTGGGAGGAGTTTTATGAAGGCTGTGTGGAAGATGCGTACAAAGTCCGTCATACAGAGTCCGGCAATGATCACATCATCTTGCAAAGCAGCTGTGCAAGGGAACTGAACACGGGTCTGGATCTTTGACTACGGAGGCTGCGCTTTGTCCTCATGCCGTCTCTGGTCTCCACCTTCGCTGAAATTCTTACTCTAGAAACAAACTTTCTGTGAGATGGATGTGTGTGTGTGCGTGTGCGTGTGTGTGTGTGTGTGTGTGTTGTTGTCGTTGTCCCTGCTGCCTTCTCTCCTATTTGGTATAGTCAGTTTGTTAATGACATTTAACAAGTGCTTCAGAAACAACCAAGCCGTTTTAACCCACTGTGTTCACATGCCATTAGATTCAATGCTTGGGACTCATGGAGAGCCACAGTGGTGGGGTTTGGCTGCCATACTCCTTTGGTTTTTGAGACGGGTTTGTATGACTCAGTTTATGCTGTTCTTTTAAATTCACTGTGGTCCAAATGATTCTTGAACTCACAGGCCTTCTGTCTCAACCTCCTTGGTGATAATCCTCCTGCCTCAGCTTCCCAAGTGCTAAGCAATATTTTTCAAAATCAAAACTAAGTGCTGTAGAGAAAACTCTGTCAGCGCTTGCTATGCAAGTATGAGGACCTGGGCTCAGTCCCCAGCACTTATGGTAGAAACTGTGTGGAATGTTGTGAACTGTTGTGGAATGTTATTTTAACTATGTAAAGATGTGTTACATTTGTTTATGCTCCAGAATATTACTTTAATGCTGTAAAGGTGTGTTACATTTGTTTATGCTACATCTGTTTAAGGGTGTCAGGATGTGTTACATTTGTTTCACCTTGCCTGTCTGAGGCACCAACTGGTCTAACAAAGAGCTGAAGGGTCAGTGGTTAGGCAGGAGAGTAATAGGTGGGGTTGGAAGATGGAGAGAATGAATAGGAAGAGAAAGGAAAGAAGGAGGAGAGAACCTGGGAGAAAGAGGGGCGTGACCCAGGCCAGAAGGAGGAGAGAACCTGGGAGAAAGAGAGGGGCGTGACCCAGGCCAGAAGTCAGGCAGTTGCCAGCCAGCCATGGATACAATAGGAAAGTAAGGTAGAAAAAAAAGGGAGGAAGGAATGAATAAAGGAAGGAAGGGAAAGAAAAAGAGAAGGGAAGGAAGGAAGGAAGGAAGGGAGGGAAAGAGAAAAAGAGGGAAGGAAGGAAGGAGGAAAGGAGGAAAGGATGAAAAGAAAGTCAGGCAAAAAGCACCAAGAAAAACATAGCGAGAAACACATTAAAATAAGAGCTAAGATAAGGCTGAGCATTCTTAACTAATAATAAGTCTTCGTGTCATGATTTGGGAGCTGGTTGGTGGCCCAAGAGAAAAAGCCTGTACAGTGATACCCGTTTGTATTCCTAGTGCTGGAGAGGCAGAGATGGGAAGATCCCTGGAGCATACTGGCTAGCCAGCCTGCCCTAATAGTGAACACCGGGTCTGCGAGAGAATCACTGTTGTGAGAGCCACTGTCTCCAAAGCCAAGGAGCACAACTCCTAAGAAGTGACACCACAGACTGTCACCTGGCCTTCACAGGCATGGCTACACATGTGCATGTGTACACATACGTGAATATGTACGCGCACAGGTGAAAATTCATGCAAAGTTTCTTGATGTGCAAAATATCTCAATTTTAAGTTCAGGATTTGCACCACAAATTTGTAGGGTCTCCCTGATCCTGACTGTCTATGACATCTGTGGCTGGGAGTAGGGCAGTGGTCAGCTGATAGCAGAAAACAGGAAGTATTAGACTAAGATTAAAATCTTAGAGCCATAAATTATGTAATTCTAGACCTAAATGCTAGATTCAAACTCTGGCTTCATATATAACAGGGGTCTTAAATAACACCACATGGATTTTATTGCTGGTGTTTTTGTTTGTTTGTTGTTTTTACTTTTGTTTTTTTTTTTTTTTTGAGACAGGGTCTTACTATGCAGCCCAGGCTTGCCTGAAAGTCATTATGCATTTAAAGCAGGTTTCAAACTTATGGCGACCCCTTCCTTGTCTCTGCCTCCCAAGTGCTGGGAATTAGGCATGAGCTGCCAAGTATAGCCTTTGGGATATTCATAAACACCTTGTTTTTCTTTATTTTGTGAACAAAAGGTCCCAAAGCCAAAGCATCAGATTTTCTAGTTGGTACCCTCTTCGTGCTTTTTTTCTGCAGCCCCTTTGATTGATGACATTTTGAAGCACGTTTTAAATTTTTTTCTAGATTAATTATTTTCTGTGCAAAATATTTTGCCTGCATTTATGCATGAGCACCAAGTACATGCCGGGCACTCACAGATGATGGTAGAGGGCATCAGACCCCATGGAACTGGAGGTACCCAGAGTTTGAGAATGGAACTGGGATCCTCTTCAGGAGTAGCCAGGGCTTTTACCCTCTTGCCCATCTCATCAGGCCCCTGCAGCACGATTCCAGTCACAGCCTGGGATGTTTGGCTCTCTCGGGAGCATCACCATGCCTTTGGCTTGTGCTGCTGTCTCTGCCACTGAGACTCTGCTTTTGCAGCGCTTGGCCTAACATCCAGCTCTCCAGCACTGCCTGTCTAGGTCACCAGTTTCTGCAGTTCCCGTTCTGTTGCTTGTCAGTGCGACCGGAGTCGTCCTCCACTTCTGTAGCTCCACACCCCGCCCCCCAATTAAGAAAATGCCTTCGTAAGATCAGGCTGCAGGCAAGCCTCTAAGGCATTTTTAAAATTAGTGATTGATGGGGAAGGCTCAACCCTGGGTGGGTGGTGCCATCCCTGGTCTAGTGGTCCTGGGTTCTATAAAAAAGCAGACTGAGAAAGTCATGAAGAATAAGCCAGTAAGCAGCATCTTTCCATGGCCTCTGCATCAGCTCCCATCTCCATGATCCCGTCCTGTTTGAGTTCCTGTCCTGACTTCCTTCAATGGTGAACTACAGTGTTTGCAAGTGGAGACCAAATGCCACCCCCCCCCATTTGTCTTTTAGCCAAGGTGTTTCCTTGCAGCAATAGAAACCCTAACTAAGACAATTGCATAGAAGACTTTTTTTTTTTTAAATTTTGGGACAGTGTCTCACTATGTATCCCTGGCTGGCTTGGAACTTGCTAAGTGGACCCAGCTGGCCTTGAATTTACAAAATTCTCTTGCTTCTGCTTCCTGGAAGCCTTTTATTGGGCCTAATGTTGCAACACCAGAACAGGCAATGCACGATGGTGTCTCCCAGAACCCCCTGCTCATACAGCTAGAGAAGGGGTATTTGACTAACCACAGGAAAACTTTAATACGGATCCTTTGTGTTTCCACCAATCACAGCACTGTAGCTTCTGAGAGACCAGGTGAAGCGGTTTCCCATCTGGTCTGGATAAAATAGTTACAGGGCTTGTACTAGCAAAAAAAAAAAAAAAAAAAAAAAAAAAAAACAAACCTGTGTTGGGGCTTCAAGTTCAGGAGCTGTAGAAAACAGCTGTGATCATGGTGTTGCTTCCTCAAGGCATCTGTGATGTGCTCAAAGTGGCAGAGTAGCTGGCGGTTTGATTGACAGTCCTTTGGCTTGAGGCAGCCATAGAATCAAGGGAAAATCCAACAGTTGACAACTAGGAAGCCAGATTGCCTCCCCGCCCCTACATGTTTGCTATTTACAGGAAAGTGAGAGTCGGGAGTGCTTGCAATAGGAACCTACAGAACTGATCATTAACACTAATAGCCATTTTTAACAGCACTTAACTCCTGCCCCTGGGAGAGGAGGGTCCTTCCATCTGTCCCCCAAAGAGAAGCCAGTTCTGTAGTGAAAGAACATTTCCCAGAGTTTGGATTTGGCCCAAACCGTAATGATCTACAAACCTCTGGTGCACCGAGAGCCCTGGGCTCAGGCGGCTGGCAGATTCAACTCAAGTCGTGCAGCGTGCAGCCCACCGGAAGGTGGAGCTTTGGCAAATCCCTGTCTCTCCCTCTCTCCAGCTGGGTAAAGGAGAGGAAATTCCAGGTACCTTTCCCCTGCCAGATCCCGGAAGTCCTTTTCCAGGGTCCCAGGTCTCCCTGTGTAAAGGCAAAGGAACCTGGGAGCGGGTGCGGGGAAGTTACCAACCGAGAGAACTACTCTCCCAGCACGCGGTACCAGAAACTGGTTGTGGGAGTTTCGGTTCATTTGACAGCGTTTCACGTTGCACAGACTAGCCTCCAGCTATTTAGTGGAGGATGGCCTTGAACTCCTGGTCTTCAGGCCTCTGTTTCCAAATCTGGGGTCCCAGGCCTGCCTCGCCACTTCCGGCACTGGCTGCTGTCAACAGCAGCGTGGTGTGAGCCCGGCTCTTGTTCTTTTCTCAAGAAATACGTGCGGGAAGAAGAGAGACACCAGAAGAAGACACGACTGGGAACTCCATCGCTTGCTCTTTTTTTTTTAAAAAAAAAATTGTTTATTTTTTTTGTCGGAGGAAAAATACCGCGCCTGGAGCCCGGGTGTGCACCAAGCCCAGTGAAAGCGGGGACACACCCTCCTGTCACCGCCCCTGTCGGCGGCGGGGCGGGCTGAGCCCACACCCGGCTGGGCTCTGGCGGCTGGAGGATGAGTCGCTGATGCCAGGAGCTCCGGCCGGGCAGGAGGATGCTCCTGAACCGGCTCTATCTGGGACGGTCGCGGCTGCTGACGACGATCCGAGCCCGCAACCGTGCGTGTCCGAGGCCACTACCACCCGCACCCCAGGTAAGGAGCGACGCGGGCACGCGAGCCGTGGATGGAAAGTTGCGTCGGGCAACTTTGGCGGGAGTGAAAACCAGGCAGTTCCCTGCGTGCTGCTCTGCACGTCCGGGTGCCCCGACAGGTGGTGGCCTCGGACGACTGGTCCCTGGGTGGCGGGGAGACGGCCCAGAGTGGCCAGCTCGGGGCGCATCTTCCGGGAGTGCAGCTGGTCGACCCCAGCCGCGGCGTCTTGCAGTTTGTAGTCGGTGGAGGAGGAGCCGGGAGGGGGCGGTGTGCTGTCCTCAGGGTGGGCTGTCGGCTGGGTGACTGTGTCCAAGGTGTCTTTGTCCGGGGTGGGATTTCCCCAAAGGGGCTGTCATCGGGGTAGGCTTTAACCAGGATTGCCTTCTCCAGGGTGGACTGGCCCAGGACCGGGTCCTGTCCATCCTCCAAACTCCAAGCCCCTCCCTTTTATATCCTTCATTGCGTGTAAACAGGAGGTAGTGAAGAATCAGAAGGGTCGACTGTGGGTAACAGTTAGGCGGCCACAGCTTGGGTCACAGCCTGTGTGGAACCTCGAGGAAAAGGGAAGAAGTATGGGTGTGCACCAAAAAGGAAGAGCGGGAAAGTGCTGGCGGGAGTGTGCGTGTGTGTCGGGAGAAAGAACCTCAGGCTGCCTGGGGCTGGGGGCGGGGGCTGAGTCGACCCACCCCTCAATTACTGGGTTAGCATCAGCTTGCTAAAGGGAGAGCAATATATGTAAATATTTATTATCGTTCAGCTGGGCGATGAGAAAGAAAGAGTGCCAGCTCTGTCACTTTCACTTCCTGTTTCTTTTGTCCCCCCTCCCCCTCCATCCTTGGATTCTGTCCCAAAGCATTATCTTAATGCTTTGGAATTTGGGTTGATACGGGAAATATTTCAAAGCATTTTTAAAAAATTCTTTCCTTAAATATGTGAAAGCAAGTGAGTTTTTGATTGATACTAATACCTAAGAAAATGGCAAACTCCTTAAAATCTAACGTGGTAATCCCTATGACGTGGGTTGAGGGGAGAGGCTTCTGAAAACCGTACTTTAAAGGCTACCTTTCAGAATCAGGCATTCCTAGCACTCAAAGGTCTACTGCTTTCTTCGCCTCACATCGCAGAAACACACGTGACAATTAAACCCTGCTAATGATTATCAAGCGCATTTGACAATTGCGGAGCGCTGAGAATGGAACAAAACTACTAAGGGCCACACCTACCTACTGCTAAGCCACGCCCATTTAAAAACCACCTGGAGTAACATTTTTATGACTTCCAAGACTGGCAGCCCTTTCTCAAATGATCAACATCATCAGCTCTAAGCCCTTTCCTCTGCACTGCCCATCTGAGGCTAGATACAGAGATACCACGGTATACCTGCCCCTAATGAAAACAGCTACAGAGGGGCTGGATACATCTAATAATGGGGAAATGTGGTTAGTGTTTGGTCGTAGCTCATTCAGCATCATAAGAAGCCTTAAGTTTGAATGATATAATTTGCAGTCTTAAGTCAGCTGCCCAGGCCAGAAAGCCAGTTTGCAGAACTTCAGGAGAGGAAATGCTTCCACCATTTTGCCCAGGTGACAAAATATCCCATCCCATAATAAAGCCAAGCCTATGGGTTTACCTCTGTGTGCAGTTTTGCAGTCTCCAGGCCCCTTAAGAGTTTCAACTACAACTGCTAAACCATTTTCTGCAAATCAGAGCTCCCCAGTTATAGAAAGTTGTTTTTTTTTTTTATTTTAAGATCTCGCTGCTTTCCGTATTTAATGCCCTGGGGCTAAAGACAAATATCATTGCTGTTTTCTCCCAAAAAGCATTCCTGTCACCCAACACCCATAAAAACAGCTTTAAGAAAGAAAAAAAAAAGGTTTTCTTCGAAAAATCCTAGCTTGCAAGGACTTGTCATAAGCCACATGTTTAATAAGCATTCCCAACTATAATAGGTCTTTTCTGAAATTGAGTGTGCATTTAATAGCTTTGAGAAATATATGCTTCTCATCCTTCACATGGTAGGTGGGTAACTATCTGCTGGTGTTTTATGGACAGGAGAAAAAAAACCTTCCAGTTTGTTGACCCGGATATGTTTAATGTAGCAGAGTTGTTTATTAAAGAACACACGTTGTGTGAGGCTAAAACAAATGAACAATATTGCGTTATCTTTGGCCTGGCCTGGAATCCGTGATCACCACGTCTGGTGACAGCCTGTCTGCCTCCGGTGCTCTGGCTGTGGTTGTCAGGGTGACTGGAAGCTCCTGCTGGCGTACATGGACACTGCTCTGAGCAATCCCAGCGCCTGGAGAGTTGTATCCAAACAGAAAGCTCTCGCCTAGGTTTTCTGCTGCTTAGATTAAAAAAATATCCAAATAGGATTTTGTGTTCTCAAAATGTCATCTAGATCCCCAACACAAGCAGTTTAACATTTTTTTTAAAGGCAAGTGTAGTTTGCTAAGAAACTCAAGGGTCAAGTTTGCTTTTTTTTTTAACTTCCGGAAACAAAGCATCCAGATGTTTCAAACTGTACAAGATGTTAACTTTGAAGTGCTGGTTTCGTCTGTGGGGGTTTAGTGAACAAATTGTTCTTGTTTACCACTTCCTTCTATTTCATCTCTAGTCTGCCTCTGGAGTGATGATGTGCTCTGCAATTCTGGTTTCAGAGCTCTCTCTCTCTCTCTCTCTCTCTCTCTCTCTCTCTCTCTCTTCCACCAGTGACTGATGCTTTGGCCTCAAAGTAGTTCTAGACTGGTCTGTCTTGGACACTGTAGGAATCAGAGCTTTAAAATGATCACTTGCTATTGACTATAATTAAGTGTATTCTGTAGCAAACTAGAATAGGAAATCGTGTTGTGTCTTGGCAGATAAATATCTGTTGATGAGGCACAAAACTAGAAAGCCTGAGAGGTTAACTGTTTGCTGACCCTGATACTAGCAGGTGCATAGGTCATCTCATTTCATTGGTATTAGGCAACGGGGGCATCAGGGTGCTAGCAGGCCTGGCCCTGCCACCTCTCGTCTCTGCAAGTTTGCCCAAGCCATTCAGTCTGTATGAATCTGTCCCCCGTGTTCGGAACCAAGGGGATTTGTCTTATTGCTCTTAAAGCCCCTTTTCATCTCTTCGCATGCCATTTTGTTATCTTCTCCCCTGGGAGTATAACATGACATTGAATGGAGTACTATCAATTTCAGAAAACGTCTGAGGTCGTCAGTAGAGTGCTGCTTCCTTGTGGGTGACTGTTACAGTATTCCTCTTGTTACAGTTCGAACCTTGAATGTCTCCCAGAGCCCATGATGGGACCGCTAGGGCCTAGCGGAAGATGCTAGATGACTGGGGGAGGGGGGGGGGTGCCTGTGACAGGGCAGTTGTGACTCTGGTTCCTCCTCTTGCTCTTTTTTGTGTCCATGTTGTGAACAGGCATCCTCTGCCACATGCTTCCTTCATACTGTGCTGTGCAGTCAATAGAACAGGGCCAAATGGTCTCAGATTAAAGTCTCTTACTTCTTGAATCAAAATGAATTTTCCTCCTTTAGAGCCGATTGTGTCAGGTTTGTCCTTGAACAGAAAGCTAGTGCACACCCATCCAGAAAAGTTTTTATTTTCTCAATTGGGTTTTTATGTCCGAAGAGGATAGAGTAAATCCATCAATATTTCATTCTAGTATCTTTATCTATGAAATGTTGCCTATTCAAGAATGTCTAATATTAGAACTCTATAATCACTATGGATATTATAGGCTAACATAAAGGCCAATAAGCAATTAACAAGACAGGATATTCTAGGGATCTACTTTAAATCCTTTTTAACTTGGTATCATTGTTCCTTTTATAACTTTAAATTCTATTTTATGCACACTGCTGTTATGCCTGCCAATAAGTCTGTGTACCATGTGCATGCCTGGTACCTACAAAGACCAAAAGATGGTATCGGACCCCCTAGAACTGAAGTTACAGGCAGTTGTGAGCTACCATGTGGATGCTAAGAATCGAATCCAGGTCATTAACCTCTGAGCCATCTCTCCAGTCCCTTGTTAAATTTACATAAAGACCAACTAATAACAGGACATTCTTTGGTATACTGTTCACAAACTGTGAGCCTGGTGACATATTCCAGCAAAGTGCTGTTGGAAGGGATGGGGTAATAGCTCCTGTTCTTTTGATGTGGAAGCAAGTGTTTTCAGGATTGACTAAACCCCAGCCCAAGGGTCTTCATCTAGTTTCCTCCTGAGGCCCAGAGTTTGGTGCTATAGTACAATGGTGCTCAGCTCCTCACACCTCTGGGACACATCTTGAGTTCCTCATACAGTGGAAGGATTCATCTCAGTTGGCCTTCACCTGCATACTACCACTCATAGGCCCATGATTTCCTTGGTAGAGAAATTCGTGACCCGAACTGAAGGAGGTCACTAAAGGAGGCACAAGTATGTCTGACATCAAATACATTCTCTCCTTGACCACCTGTGATCCAATATATGATGTGTATGTGTGTGTGGTGTATGCATGTGGTGTACGACGTGTGTGTGTGTGTGTGTGTGTGTGTGTGTTTGTGTGTGATGTTTGCATAATGATGTGTGCTCTGTGTGTAGGGTATATGGGTATGATGTCTGACGTGTGACACATTTGGATATGCTCGTGGAAGTCAGAGGACAGTCTTGGGTGTTGTCCTCACCTTTGACCTTGTTTTAAGCAGGATGTCTCTGTTGCTCGCACACGCCAGCCTCGCTCTTGTCTCTGTCTCCCATCTCACTACAGGCATACCAGGATTGCAGACACATGTGGTTTTCCTGAGTTTCTGGGGATTTGAATTCAGAATATGTAGACAAGGGCTTTGACCCCTGAGGCTTGTCTCTAGGCCTGGATTCTTTGTGCTTTTTTCCTCCTACCTTCATATTTTCCAACTTCCTATTTTATTGCTATCTCTATTGTCCCCATTTGAGTAACAGAGAGTTGATTGAATTAACCAGGCCTGAAAACTTCAAAGTTTCAAATTTAATAAACTCCGA